AAATGGAAACAATATTTTTGATTTAATTATTCTACTGGCAGGCGGCAGCAGTCCAACAGAATTGAATTGAGCCCCTGCCCCGAGTTGCTTGTTTGTTTCCCTGCTGAGTGTCTGATGTGTGGAACCTGTTTGCAACATCTCCTGTCAATGTTGCAGCATGTGAAAATATCTTTTTAATGGCCTTTCGACATGCCCTCTGACCTGCTAAGAGTGCAAAGTTTATTGACAAAAGTTGAGCACTTTGTGCACGCGGCTGAACTTTAGGGTGCTGCAGGTTGCAGGTTGCACGTTGCCTGGTCTGCTCTGGCCATTATTTGGTCCCCACTGTATTTATCGCCCAAGGATACAACCGTGACTGTGACTGTGACTGTGACTGCGACTCGGGTGTGCTGTGATATTCATTACCCACTTGACGACACTCAAGACCAAAGGACATGTCTGCCTCCAGTGCCAGTCCACACTCCCATCCGGCTGCCATGGGCACGGCTGGAGTTCATTAAAGCCGGCATTATTGACGGCGTGCGAAAGCGCTTGCAGCTGTCCTTGCCACCGTCTTTGAGCACGAGACCAAAACGGATACGGTTACGACAAGAGGCAGGTCAGGTTTTCATCGTGTGTGCCCCAACAGCAGAGAGACATCAAAGCGCATTTGAAATGGAATAAAATTCATAAATTACGCAGCAAGTGTGGCAGGCAGAGAGAGAGAGAGAGAGAGAGCAAGTCTTTGACTTTGAGTCTCTGCTGTTTCCGGCAGGCGAAATGCTTTAAGCTTGGCTTCCCACAGCAAGTGGCAATTAGTGGCAAAACACAATTCACAGGGGATTCACACGTCTCTTGTCTTTAAAGTGTCAGCAAAAATGGCAGGCCTCATAAATAACTCGAGTGCAGAGTGATTTCCTTCATTGTCCGGCAGAGTGTGAAGTTTTGTAGATTTTCATCAAATGATTTAAACTCGAACTTAATTGGCATTCCAGCCCTTCCCTTCGATTGATTGCCTGCTGGAGTGCGGTTTGTGGCCTCGTTGACACCTGCCCAGTGCTCCGGGAAAAGGCTCGTGCCTTAAGCCCGGGCATTACGCATTCAACGTGCACCACCGCTTCCAGGTCTAATGTGTGTTGTCCGCTGTGTGGCGGTGCGGACACACATCACTCAAAACAGAAAATATTTGAATTGCACTCAGCAGCAGGCAGCGACCCGATAGACCCAGCAAATGGCAGGCAAATGCGATCAAAATACCAAGCGAAATGCTTGGGGGGAGTGCAATAATGAAATGCCCAACCAAACGCCAGCATTCTGCCATTGCTGGCTGTCCCCGCGGTTCCGACAAAGGTTTAATAATTCCTGCACAGATGCCAAGCAAAGTGTAACAGCTTTTGTGCAATTAGAGCCGCGGTTCCCATTTGTATTCATGATACACGCGCCACCACGCGTCTGGCATTTGGTGGCGTGAAGCAGTTACCAACACATACTAATCCGCCTAATCATGCGTGGGTGTGCGGCACATCATGCAAAGTTTTGCCACAGACACAATAGTGGACTTGTCCTGGCACTGGCTCAAGGAGCTGCTGATTGCCTGTGCCGCCTAAGCTGGAGGGGGGAAACAACACGAGGACTCGGCAGTGTGCGCTCGAGTCGTGTAAATTTCAAAAATATTATTTTTTAATTAAGTCAGAAAAGCAGGGAAGGCGCGGGACACGGCACTGGATGTTGCGCCGTGAATGCTAATGCTAATGGATCTGTGAATGGCCCAGCGAAGAAGGAGGAGCAGCCTCAGCATCAGATAGATGCGCGTGGGACGTGCTCACAAATTGTATTTTTTGATGCGTGTTGGTGGTGGTGGGAGGGGGGAAACGCGCACGCAGTTTGCATATTTTCACATAAAATATTTGCATTTGCTTCAAGGGCACAGCACACACACATTTGAGGGCCAAACTAAAGGAAATTACCAAGGAAAACCAGGCTGGCCGGAGGGGTGGGGGGTGGTTTTCCCTTTTGCAGCACATCCTGGCAGAGGGCCGAGCGGATTTGGAGCGATAATTAGTTGTCTCGGGGAAACCCAAGATATTCGACGCTCATTCAATCAATCAATTAATCAAAAGTTAGCGCCAAATGGCCGATAGAAAAGGGACACGAAGGAGCAGCAGGAAGCGGAGTAGCGGACTAGCGGAGCGTCTCGGATCAAAACGATTAGCGCGGCTTTTATTGGTGGAAATTTAATTTAATTTGTACGCTTATGCGAGTCCCCCCGCCAGGCGCAAGCAAAGCTTTTACTTTCGCTCGGCAGGGGCCGCCACGGTTGAAGGGGTAATGCGGTGATGCCGTGCGGTGTGTGGCCCAAGTGGCTGCTAAACTGTTTCAGAGTTTATCATGTGTGTGTGTGGGTGTGTGGGTGTGTGTGGGTGTAATTTCGTAATTTTGTTATTTGGTAATTTTGTAATTCGTTTTGGCAGGCCAAAAAGTAATTTTTGGCAGCGGTTTTGCGATTTGCGGCCTCTGTTGAGACTTTTCATTATCATTCCATCTCGTTCATAAATCATGGTCCTCGAGTGGGACTCAGGCAGCCCTTTGCCGTTGCCTTTGCCTTTGCCGTTGCCTTTGCCATCCGCTGTCGCCTTTTCCAACTCATTTGGCAGAGGCCCAGAATTAATCAAAGCCAGAATGAGAACGGCAACAGAGGCAGGAGCAGGAGCAAAGTTCAGCACAGGACACATGTGGAGTGGCAGCAGTCATCAGGAGTCATGAGGAGTGCCAGGCAGTTGGCAAAATGTAATATTTGGCTCCCCAGCTGCCATGGCTTAAAGAAATAAGCAAGGACGAGGATATGCTGTCAGTGTGTGCTTTACATATGGCGAGGCAGGGGCGTCGGCGGCTCTTCATTGATATGCCATTCGATAACTGTAAACTGCTGTCACAGAGACAGAGAGCGGGAGAGAGCGGGAGAGAGCGGGAGAGAGCGGGAGAGAGCGGGAGAGTTGGGAGCAAGTCAAACGCAAATGAAAGATAAAAGAAAGCTTAAAGAGAAACCCACACACACACACACACAGCACACATTCTCAACTGTGTTCTGCTGTCCCTCCCACGCGCCGTAGACTGTGGCGCCAGCCAAAAAGTGTAGAAGTCAAAGCAAACGGCCAGAAAGAACCAAAACAGCAAAAGAAAGGAAACTGGCGACTGGAAACAGGAACAGAAGCACGAAATCCACGCAAATCTAGTGGAAAATTAAAATGTTGCCAATTTGGGCGTGCAACAGAGCCAAAGAGAGAGAGAGAGAGAGAGAGAGAGAGAGAGAGAGAGTGGGAATAGAAAGAGCGGAAGGAGCGGAAGGAGGAGGCTTGGCTGGCAAAATCTGTTTGATGCTTGAAGTTACATTTGTCGTGGCTGAACTTTCAAATTAACTCCACTGCTGGAGTAAGTTTTTGCACAATGCTTGGATGCACTGAAAGATTTATTTTCATGGCGTTTTGCTGCTTTCCATGCACTTTTCATTGTTCTCGGTGCGGCAACAGCGCTGTTAACAGCCTGTTTGTGCAGCGGCAGTGCTTACCGTTTACAGCTCTGTTCGCGCTCGCTCTCACGATCCACAGGATCCACAGGATCCACGACAAGGCGCATTTCTTGGATTCTGCCGGCGTTGCAATCCACACTCCCCCCACAACCAACTCCAGAGTAACTCCTACGTAACTTTATTGCCGTTTTGCTTGGCTGATGCACACTACTCGCGATGTTTATGTTGGCGCTATGTTGTGTATATGTATGTGTATGGGTTGTGTCTTTTTGTTGGTCTTATAATTGTTTTGGCTTCGTAATGGTTTTGTTGTGGTGCGCGGCTATCGTGGGCATGGGCATGGGTGCCGGCTTCTGAGGCGCGTTCGGGCGAGAGGGCCGACGCGAGGGCATCTGCTCGCGAACGGCCCACTGCAGGCGGAACAACTCCATATCCTCCGCCTCTCTCTCGCGCCGATCCACTTTACGTGGCATCGCTGTCGATGGTTTCTCTTTGGAGCGGGCTCGCTCGCGCTCCCGCTCCCGCTCTCGCTCTCGCTTACGTTCGCGCTCGCGCTCACGATCACGTTCACGTTCACGTTCACGTTCCTGCACGAGTTGGAATCCAGGCATGGAGGATTGAGTTTCGAATGAGGCGGATTCGCCCGGGCGTGCCCGCAGATGGGGCGGCGTGGCTGTCTGGGGATCGAGGAAGACCTGCATGCTGTCGCTGAAGCTGTACGCACTGTTGCTCAGCCGCGACCAGTTGATTGGCTGTTTTTGCGGCTGAGTGCCCGCCAAGCGCTGCTTCACCATTTTCGTGATGCTCCAGTCATTGGTGTACTTGATTTGGGTGAAGTCGGGTTCCCCCTCTGGCTGCGCGTCCGTACTCTTGGACTGCTTGCCGCCCGTCTCCGCCGTCTCCGCCGTCTCCGCAGTCTCTGGCGGCGTGCGTATCGTGTCCAGATAGGCGAACGCCTCCATGTGGTAGGGCTTCTCGGGCTCCGTGCCCTCGCCGGGACACATCTTGTGCTCGATCATCTGCAGCTTGTACACATTCAGCTGATGCCGCAAGGCGCTGATCCGGTTGCGCACGAAGCCGGCAGGCAGATGGCTGCCCAGCTTACTGGCGATGGCCTCCCAGGCTTCAATCTTCAGCTGCACGTTCTGGTGCTCGGCCAGCGCGGTGTTCCACAGGCACTCATGCTGCCGGTACAGCTCCGCCAGGCGTAAGTTGAAGCTTTCGTCCAGCGACGAGGGCAGCGTGAAGGCGGCCGCGCTCTTCGCAGAGTCACGTCGTGCGCGGTCGAGGCGTCGCTCCTCCATCTTGCTCGCTCACAGATCCACACCACAGATTATACACCAAAACGAGTGTTGGGGGTTTGGGTGTGACTTTGATTTTGAATGAGAGTAAACGCCCGGCCACGTGGCACTTTGAATTTTGTTCAAAAAAGTGCCTACTGTGCCTAGCAAGCGCTGCATTCGCCCCTACATCATTCACACAAGAGCCAAACGGGGCTAGGCGTGGGAGTAAGCTGAGGGTAGGGCCAATTCATTGGAATTTCCAATTTCGTCAATCTGCTGCCTCCTCCAACGAACGTGAGCAATTAGCCCTAATTGGCGCTGTGCAGCCTCGCACGTTTGCATAATTCAATGAATATTGAACAATGAATGGGATATTGGGATGGTCAGCCCTTGGCACAACATGCCGTCCAGCTGATTTGATCATCATCTACGCATAAGTTTTGTCACTGCCAGCAGTCCCCGCTGTAACTTTTGCCCGTGAGTAATTTGACATTTATGTCAGACGCTGGTCATCCGGTATTCGGTTCCGGTGGGTGTGTGTGTGTGTGTGTGTGTGTGGGCGTGATGGGGCACAATTAATGCGTGTACAGCGCTCACATAATCCTAGAGTGAAACAGAGTCTTAGAGCGCTCTGGAGGAGCTAGTTGCCGATGATGATGATTAATGCTGTCGGCACGCTACAGAACGGGGTGTGGGCGAACGTGACCTTGATTTGACAGACACTTGTGGCTGGCCAGGGTTCAGGATGATCCATGAGGGATGCTAATGCGTAAATCATTGCATGCCGATTAGTGCTGTTTGCTGTCCCGCGGCTTCACACCGCAAACACACACAAAGAGAAACGCGGTCCAGGGCTGCTGTAATATTCCCAGCTCATTAAAATACGAATTAAATCCTCTTTGGCTGCCAATCGCTGCCTTTGCGGTTGCGGTTGCGGTTGCCTGCTCTTCAACAAATGGGATAACACTTTGTGCATTCTTTGAGTTTGAGTTAAACGCTTTGTAATGCATTTAAACTAATTGGTTGGCCAATTGAGTGCATTAATATGAAGCCATCTTAGAAGTGTGCTGCCAGCTCAAGCACTGCTTTAAAGCACTGCTTGCACTGCTTCTCTGCACGTGAGCAACGGATCTGCACTATGCATTAACCTCTCTGAGAGATTTGCGCAGAGGGAGAGTAAGCAAGAGAGAGGGAGAGCTGAAAAACGTTTCTTGCTTCTCTGCCGCTGCGGACGCCAAGCCTTTGTGCATAGGCAAAACGAAGTTGTGTCTCTGCCGCTGCGACGGCGATTCGCTTATGCATGGGCCGCAGCCACTCGAAGCTTTTAAGCGCTGCTTCTGTGCCGACTGCGCTGCCCGAGATCCGGCAACGATGCGGGATTTTTCGTTCGTTTCTTTCTTGTATTATTTTAAAGCGCACATTTAAGCAGCAGCCACTCAAGTCGGAGACAAAAGCAATCCGTAAATGTATCCGGAGCTTTTCTTGGTAAATGCAGCTGCGGATGGAAAACTGCTTGCCTTTGTTCCTGCCTGTCAGTCACAGAGCTCGCTTGTCTGAGCAACACTCCGCGCTGCTCTGCTCTGCTCTCTGCTCTGCTCTGCTCTGCTCCACGCTCTGCGCCGTTATTCTCCTCTTCTCTTTCATTGCCATTTGCTATTGCCATTGCGTTGGCGTGTCTTAAGCGGCGGCAGCTTCCGGCGTCGTATATTCTTTTGCATTTTCGCTGCTCACGTCGCCCTCCAGTGGTGCGCAGTAACAATGGCAGACAGGCAGCCGGCACTGTCTCAGTGTCAGTTGTTAAGCTGCTCTAAATGCACCCCGGAGTCTGTGTGGGCACAGTGGCTGCAGTCAGGGAATGCAATCCAGGAAAGGACATCAAATGCCGGCCGCCCGACAACTTCCCGGAGGTGCGACGCTGCAAAAAATGACTCAAGCCAAACAGCAGCAACAAAAAATCAACACCAGCCAACAAAACTCTGCTCTTCCGATCATCCTCGCAGGACTTTTGTCAGGGCCAGCAGCAGCAGGCGGTGGCAGAAGTTTGAAATAATTTTGTTATTAGTTTCCAGAACTGTGAAGAGACCAACGCCTCAACCAGCTCCCAGCTACCACCCAAGTTCACTTTTTATTGTTTATTTTTTTTTTTGTACATTTTCGTTGTATTTTTTGTACAGTTTTTTAATATTTGTTTTTGCATATTTGCTTACATTTGTGCCTCAATTTTTGTGTATTTTTTGGGTGTATTTTTGGCGCCTTTTCAGCCTCGAAGTTTTCATAATAATTTGTCCAGCAGGCGGCGCACTCTGACTGGAGTCCCCTGATAGTCAAACGAAAATTTAATAAACTCTGCCCGAAGCACAAACAGTTCGAGCTCCCAGTTGGAGTCGCTCAATCCCCCGTTCGAGCACCGTAATTGAGTTTTGATGGCCGAATGTCCAGGCGGTGGCGGTGGCGGCAACATCTGTGGTCAGCATGCAAATAAGTTTCCGGTCCAGCCTCTCCACAGCCTAACGACTGCCATTTGTTGTTATGCGAGGAGAGGATCCCTTCCGCAGCGGCAAATGTGGCCATGAATGTCGTGCTATAAATGGAAGGAAAAGTGCAGAAGGAGCTCCCAGGTAGAACTGGAGGATCGTCAGAATGGAAAGGGAGAGAGCACGCTGCTCCGCACACGAAAATTGCAGTGCGGCAAGTAAACAACTGGGAACTGGATCTCGATGGTCCATCGCTCACTCTGTAAATATTTACACAGCCAGAAGGGACAGGACAGGAGAGGACAGGACAGCGGCACAGGCACAATCAGCCACGTCAGCTGGCTGCAGTTTTTCCTGCAGTGTGGCAGGCAATATGTTGCAGTATACAAACAGCCAACGGAGCGTGCATATTTTTGAGCCAGTATCCAGTGTGCAGATTAAATAAATATTGATAAACCGCGCCAAAGCAACGCTGGGTTCCACGCTTCCGCGTTCCATTTGGGGTCCACCCTTTTGCATGATATTTGGAACGGAATGGAATGGAACGAAACTCGCCAGAGTTTAATTAAAATCAAATGCCAGGTGGGGAGTGGTTGGCGGAGTCAAGGCCAGCTGTCGCCATAAATGTGCAAAACAAGTTTGTAATTTTTTGGGCCATAATTGGCCCAATGGAGTGGGGCTGGGGGGGCACGGCACTGACAACAACTGGCGGAAGGCCGCCTCTGCCGCCTCTGCCGCTCGTTTTCATTTTTATTAAAATCAAATTCGCATATTTGTTGTCTGGCTGCCATGGCCCAACTCCCACACGCATAACAGCACGCAAAAAAAAAAAAAAAACTCTCCATTCAAACGCTCCTTCTGACGCTGACACACAATCATTGCCAGGTTTTGTTTGGTGGCACGGGGCACACACGTGTGGAAAACAAGCCAATTAAGCGAGGAGCAGGGTGCCAGGCTGCCAGGCTGCCAGGCTGTCAGGCTGCTCCCACGCACAATAATTGAGCAAAAGAAGCAAAGGAGCAACTCCCAACAGCATTTTCCATCAGCTGTTGCTATAGTTTGGCCCAACAAACCCACAATCAAACATCAATCAAACCACCCAAAAATATCACCAATAGAGCAGCCAAGAAGCATTTAAGACTCACTTTCATTTGGATTTTGAGACATTTTGTTCCAAAGATTTGCAGCTGAAAAAAACTGCAAGCAAGAATTATTTCTGTAGTTTATTTTGGGGCAGTTTGGGGCAAGGCTTGGGCTTAGTTTGGTTGCGAAACATGCGACGCATGTGGCAGCTAGACAAACAAAGCAATAAACATTCCCTGACCCAGCCGAAAGGTTACTTGACTGTACTTGCCGCCTGGTGTTGTCCACTCTGCCACAGTTCCCCCAGCCCTTGGGCCAACACTCCTTTATCTTGGCTGTCGTCGCTTTTGTTGGTTTCGAAACGTAGAAACAAAGAGGCACGAAAGGAAGGAAAAGGACCAACGCATTTGTGCAGGACATTTTGTGTTCTCTCTTTCTGTTCTTTTGTTGTGTGTTTTGCACAAATATTTATTAGATTGTAAATATAATAAATAGAAGGGCAGCAGGCAGAGAGTTTTGTGTCCTTTGTGTGCGCATTGTTGGCAAAATCAAAGTCGACAGCCCCCCAGGCGGGGGAGAGGCTTATGGACAGAGTGACACAGACGGGCATCAGCGCCCGCGCCCATTTGGGGCCAGCAAATTGATGTGTCATGGCGGGGATTTGGCGACCAAATAATTGCCAAAATGTGTATGCTAACACGAGGGGACCAGAGACGCAGCGAGCGTGAGTACCTGGCGTATGCGCAATATTCCAACATTTCTGAGTGCAGTCGGGAAGGGAAAGGAGTCTAGCGTCAGCCTGGTCGGGCTGTTGCATGTGGCAAGCTGCTTGCTGTGTTGCTGATTTTGATGTTGATTTATCACCAAGGCAGCGGCAGCGGCAGCGGCAGCGGCAGCGTCAGCGTCCTGCCACGCACAAAGCAATCGCTGGACTGTGACAAATGCCAACAAAAAGTGGCCGAGTCAACGGTTTCCAGTTTACTGCCAACAATGCAACACTCACGCGGGGCAGGGCTTGCGCACGGAAAGCGGACTGAGCTCTAGGCTTCGGCTAAATAAACAAGAAAATGTGCCCCCAAAATGGCCAAAAATGTTGCCCGTTTGCTTGCTTTTCTTTGCTTTTTTTTTGTAGATTTTTTGCCTGATTTTTTCTTACTTTCTTGCTGGCTTTTTTGTCGTTTCCGCATCGGTGGACTTTCGGCACTTTTTCGGCACATCAAAACGCTGTAAAACATTGTCCAAGAAGCCATCAACTGAAGCCCTTGCTGGGCCTGGGCCTGGGCCTGGGCCTACAGCGTGGCATTAAACAAAAAGGAGGCAAAAGAGCAAACAAACTTCCTGGCGCTATGTGCGTGCCCCCAGGCGTTTGGCAGGCTCCCAACTGGTGGCACACCTTTTTATTTCTAGGTGCAGAAAGCAGAGAGACACACCTGGAACTGCAACTGGAACTGGAACTTCAGCTGCAACTGGCAGTGGCTGTGGCTGAGGCTGTTGCCTGCAACTTAATCCTGGCGCCACACATTTTTCGGTCTTGCAGGAATTTAATTTAT